ATTTAAGCTCTTTTAAATGTTTTGAAAACTTATTAAAAAACCCTTTTTATTACAAAAATATCATGTAATTTAACTACGGCCCCATATGCATATAGAAGATAAGGTGTCGAAACAATTTTTTTAATTTTTGGAGTATTTCCAGAACATTTTCAAAAGTTAAGCTTAATAGGTTAATATTTGATACAAAAGTTGCTATTTTGAATCGCTCTGTGGGCAACTAAAGGGTCAGATGTTCAAAAAAATTATACCAAGTAAAATAAAATTACCTAAAGCGTTTATGAAAAAAAAAAATTGATTCATCTATTTTTAATAAAGTTATGACAGTTAGTAGTAAAAATAGTATAAAAAATGTTGAAATTTACTAATTTTAAAAATTAAATTTTTTTGTGGATTTTCCTCATTTACAGGGAACGAGGGAAATTTCGTCAATTTTAAAGATCAATGTCTTCAACTAGATACGATTTGTAATCTTTTGACATATCGTTGAAAGAAGTCGGTCCGGTGAGTGCTGAGAAAAAGTGGCAACAGACACACAAAGAATATAAGCACGTCATAGTATAATTAATACCTTCAGCTTCGCATGGAAGCTAAAAATATTGAACTTGACCAATATTATCCCGACTTAGGTCAATACCGGTAATACCGGTCATATTTAAATTCCATTGAAAATTATAGGAAATTCACTATAACAATAAATTTTATGTTTATGTTGATTATTTTTATATTTACTGTCCTCTAAACTAAAAAAATAAATTTTTATAAAAGAGTAGATGAAAAAACCTGTACAGCTCGGAAATACTAAATCAAACCTCCAAACTCGCGCACCTAAGTGCGATATGTTATTAATTTAATTTATCGCATAAATAAATTAATAAACAATTTTGTGAATGTATATAGTTCTTTCTTTTTAAAACAATAATAGATTCCTTACAAAATATAGAACTAAATAAACGCGTAGAAAAAAAATATTAAGAAAATCTAATCTAAAAATAATTTTAAAAACTGTGGACATTTTAATTAAGTTACTCTTATCGAAAAAAGGTAAGAATTAACAGCATTCTATCTCAAACAGATCTAGTCTCAAAATGAAGAAAGTGTTCTTTGATGATTATAATGTTTAATACTTAGTTATTAATATTATACCTTAAAAATTTGTTATGTGTAATTTCTAAAACTACAAATGTATGTTCAAAGACGGATTGGCCACAGAGATAAGAGGGCAATTTCCTTTTGGACCGCACTTTGTAGAGTAATGAGGGTCGGTATGCATAACGTATATTTAACAAAGAATTATGTTTAACTAATATATATATATATGTATTTATATTTTCAATTTTTGATCATTTTCATTGATATGTATAAGTTTGTGTTTATTTTGGACCCATTGATGATTGATATAATCAACAATTGATAGTAAGTTGGATTTTTATTTATAATAGGTAGTTATGATTTTATATCGTGTTAAGAAAATTGTTGAAAATCTTTAAATTGAACAATTTTTGTGCCTCCTGGGTCGTTGGCCTTTCAGTCCATTTTTGTATACATTTAAAGTGAAAATTCTGTTAATTTTCTCTTTTGTTCTGATCCTAATACTTTTTTATTGAAAATTCTTATACAATTAATGTATATGTATATAAATTTATTTATGATTTTAAATACGATTTCAGAGGAATCCCTTGAAAATTAAAAAAAACAAAGATATTCAAAATATTTTAAATTGTTGCTGTGGTTATAGTAACTCGTCTTTAAAAACTATTAAGCAAAAGCAAATCAACAGTTTCTATTCTACCACATAAAATAAGGTAATTTAAATGGTCAAAAATATATTTACCATATGGCTTAAATGTTTAAAATACCCTACGATTTTTTTATTTGCACCATCTAGTATTAACATGTTTTTTGGGCAGTAAACTTTTAAATAAATTACATTCAATAAAAAATTATTATTGATGGTCTTTTTTATTTATTAGCTACGATGCGAAGCTGAGAATGTATTAATTTTACTATGATGTGTTTTTTTATGTCTGTTATTACTTTTCCTCAGCTCTCATCAGAGCTATTCTTTGAAAGTTACGTCAAAAGATCACAAATCGTATTTAGTTGAAGAAATTGCACTTAAAAATTGAAAAAATTTGTTATTATTTATTTTTGATTATTACCCATTCATTATGTAATATTTAAAAAAATTACTAACAATTAGCATCAATTGAAAGCACGGGGCTGTATTATGCATTATATAATATAAGAACTATACCTAAGGCTAACAAATTTCGTTTTGAGTAATTTTTTTTCTTATCATCACTCATCTCAATTTTTTTTTTTTTTTTAATGCTTACGTACCATCTATTAATAGCCCTGGTCCTGATAACACGTTAAACTATTGTTGATTAATTTTAAGTACTAAGACGAATGTTGACAAAAGATAAACGAATGAAATATTTCGAACAATAAAACGAAATAAACAAGATTTATAAAAGGCCGATAGTCTAAGATCAGCGATGATGATACTTTTATGCTAGATATAATTAATAAACAAGAGTTGGATTTAGTAAAATGCTTAATTACACATAAAATTCTGTTGTGATAACATCTATAAAAAGTTTATATAGAATGTTCAGTAAGTAAAGAAAAGAATTTCTATTGTTCTCATCGTTTGTAACAACTGACCTGTTTCCTTACATTTTGAACACTCTGTATAGTTAATGTGATATTGTGATTTATTTATAATACTAATATTGATATACATTTAGTAAGTATATTTGATTGATATCAATGTTGCAACAAAAAATTTATTTTTTGTGCATCACATAAAAATACATAAAAAAATTAATGATGAAGTACGCTACAACTTGATTATGCCATTAATTGTTATAGACATGTCAAACTAGATCTTCTACTATCACTTGTCAATTATTTTAAAGTAAAAAATCACATCTTAGAGTCTTTTATTACTTCTGACATCATACTCATGCATAATTTATAAAAAAATAAAATAACTAATTTGATATTCCGAAGCTTCAAAACAATTTAAAGGACAAATAGTGAAATATTAAACGGAACTACTTTTTGATTTTCAAGGTTATAGTAATAAAGTGTTAAACATGTGATGTACTCCATCCAAGAAAATAATATTACATTTAACCATTAACTATTAGATTCTATCTCGTTTGTATTTTAATTTTTTTAAAAGGAGAAATACTTATACTTAAAAATTATTGATTCATTTGAATTTTAATGAAATTATTAAATCCTTTTAAAAAGAATAAATATAAAATTTATATAATAAAAAAATATTGTATTAATGATTTATTTATTGATTTCTCATTAACAATAATTTCTTGTTTTGGATTACCACAAATTTTATTTTTTTTTTAAAAGAATGTTTAATATAATATAAAAGTAAAAAAAAAATGTAATTTTGTAAAATTATTTATGACAAAGTTTAAATCATTCTAATATATTAATTTCATACTTATTTTAAGTATACCAAAATACAATATTAATTTTTACTATTTTATTCGAGTGAAAACGAAATTCTTATCTAAATTGAATCTCGGATATCTCTCATAAAATACAACATTCTCATATGATATAAGATTATAGAAAAGGATTGTGTCCCTTTAATATATCTGATGTCATATAAATTTGTCAATTGTCAACTCACTCAGGTATCTCTTAAATCCCCGGGTGTGACTAAAACATACACAACTCGTCATTAATGTTAATTCAACATTTATTTTGAAAATTACATTACATCCAGAAAAGAGAGATGAACTCCTAAAATGTATTATTTTTACGTAAATGGTTTGGTTTTAGAGTAAAAATGTATTACAAACACATTCACATTTAGTAAACTTGTAATATTTTTATACCTATACAATTCATAATTAGAAATCTTAAACTAAAATTCAAAGAATAGCAAAAACTATCAAGGAAAGTTATGATCAATTAATTAATATCAGGACCTGATATAGACTTTCGGGAGCCCGCAAAAAATTTGTTTACCTTGCCGGATAAAAAAACGAATTCTGAAAATGATAAAATCCAATCCTCTATCTTTAGATACCGGTACATATAGAGGACCTTAATCTCCCACACGAAATTGTAGCTTTTCACCCAGAACAAAAAAATTAAAAAAAATTAATTCATAATTGTATTAAAATATTACTTAAGACGGAGGGTATTATTTCTTTTCTAAATATAGCCTAGCCCAAAGGGGAAGTTTCTTAATCTGAGAAGATTTCATTTTAGTTGTGCTAATTAATATGGATTCATTTGTCCCTTGTGATTATAATATAAATATAGGTATTAACATACATAATCGAATGTTCACCTTTGATTTTATTGTATTTGTCAAATGACTCAATATTATTCTATTGTAAAGTTTTGAAGTTCTTGCCTTTGGACCCATTTGATAAAAATGAAAAACAATAATTATTTTATGAAATTAAATTTTTCTTTTTCATAAATTCTCTAACTTAAATTCCTACTTATTTTTGAAATCTGCGCCAGGAACCACTAAAAATATAAAGATCGGGGCATGTAGTTTTAAAATTCTCCGTTAAATCCGGCCCTTTTATATAATACTTTTACATCAAAATGTTCACTTCATTTTTTTAATTTAATATTTCATTATTAAGTTTAAATTTATTACTTAATGAATATTAAATTAAGAATTATTTAATGTTAAAAAAAACAATTTTACATTTACCTAAAACAATAGTTTTTTATGTGTTCTAACTGTATATAACTGTAACTATATGTTTAGATACTTAAAATATAAAAAATCGTCATGTAAATTTAAAAACACTTCAACACATTACTATTTTTAGTCAAAATACTAATGAAATTATTAAGGAAAATAAAATCATTATACACAATAGTACATCAACAAAAAAAATGTTAATACAGTTTTATAATTACAATTATAGCATTGTTTTAAGCTTTTGAGTGTCATACAATACAAATTTAAAAATATTAAAAATTAAATAAGTACTTACATTTAACATGTTATGGATCAGTATATATATTCACATCCAAATTACTTTTATCCAAATTATTATTCGAGACATCACGTTGACGTTTCACTAATTTAGACGAACATTAAACATTTTCGAAGTATTTACGTAATAATTAAGCTAAATAGAAACTAAAAATAGACCAAGTCCACTTAAAAATTTATGACAAAACAATAATCAAACACAGAAAATAGTTATTTTTATACATTTATAACATGAAAAAGTTATAACTGAAAATATTTAAATAAAATATAGACTTTTGATAGGTATCTCAACGATTAACGATGACAACGCTTGCGTAAAGTCTCTCACGTGATAGCGGATCGGCACGTCGCGTAGTACTGTGCTTTAGTAACTTACTAGGAAAACGGTTGCTGGAACGCCCATTTCAGATTTTGCGCTCGACATTGATGACGCCAAAAAAAGAAGGGCCTTTGAATTTTCTCAATTGATATTGGAACATGCAATCAAATATTTTTAAACAATGTATTCATTTCCTATAAACTGATATAAATTAATTTATATCTTAATTTATTTTTAACTTTTAATTTAAAATTAAAAATGATATTTTATGATAGAGGTATCATATAGCAACTATCATTTAATCACCGCCCAAACAATGATGTTAAACTGAACTATTAGCCATTGGTTCCCGGATGGGTGACTGTACGGGAACTTTAACAGTGACACACACGTTACCAACTTACTCAGTATCCCTCAGTCATAATGAGAATAGGCCAGGTTAAAAGCTGAATGTTAAAATCCTATTAAATCGTAAGGTACAATCGACCCAAATAGTTGTGATCGAGACTAAGGAGAAAATGATGAAGTAATATTTTATGATAATTTCTTTAAGGTTTCTATTGTAAAATTTTCTGTTTTATATATTTTAATCGTTAGGATTAGTAAGTATGATTGTATAGTTAAATTTAATAATACACCCTTAATGTAGGTCTTATAAATTCTCATATTTTTTAATTTATAGTTAGAACCAATACAGGGGATATAAATTCTCCTCTTATATAGACTGTTCAGTAAGTAAGGAAACGGGTTTTTTTTGTTTGTTATAATTAACCTTAAAAGTTATGTAATTACATAATAAATAACTAAGTATGAATTTTAATTATTATTAAACTGTTTAAGTAATTTTTGTTGAAAATGAAATTTAGAAAATATCAAACAAGAAAATGTTTTTTTATGATTAAAATTTTAAGATCGAATGATAATAATGAACTAAAAATGTATAAATGTGAAAAAAAATATTTTAAGTAGTAATCTGTATTATTAATACCACTTATAGATTAATTTAAAAAATATTTTATTACAATAAACAATTTGGCAAATTACTTCACTTACATTCAGTCCATAATTGTTATTACAACAATAGATAATGTAGCTAAAAATTTTATGTTGGTACCATCTATGTTATCAAGACCCGGTTGTTTATAGTTTCCGTTATTATCAACTGCCGAAAAGTATGACAGATATTATTATATTTTATACAGATATGTAAAATTTATAAATTTTTGTTATTCAAACAAAACAATATACTTCTAAATTTATTTTATTTATAGACTTCTAGTACTTCTCTCCTTAAAAATGGGTAGACGTAAAAGTAAAAGAAAACCACCAGCAAAAAGGAAAGCTATCGAACCTTTGGACACGCAATTTAACTGTCCATTTTGTAATCATGAAAAGTCTTGTGAAGTTAAAATGTAAGTACTTACTTATTTGAGTATTAAAAATTAAAATAATACAGTTTTTTAATTTATTTGTTATATTAAACTTTATAATTATGCTAGTAGGATTTAAATCAGTTTAATAGATATAAACTATTAATGTGTTCAATTTCATCCATTATTCATTTTTTTACCATCAAAATTTCAATTTAATTTTAATTATCAAATTATTTATTATTTTTATAATGTAAAAACACTTAATTATTCTTAAAACTGGCTGTTATTAATATTATATAAATACTGTGCTCTTTAATAATAATTCTTACTTTGTTTTAAATTACAGGGATAAAAGTAGAAACATTGGAAAGGTATATTGTCGGGTATGCCTTGAAGCGTACCAGACAACTACTAGTTTTCTATCTGAACCTGTAGATGTTTATAATGATTGGGTTGATGCATGTGAAGCTGCTAATTAATAAAGGGTGACTACAAAATTACAATAATGTAAGAAGAATTTATGGTGATAATCAATAATTGTTAAGTTATATATACTACTTTTGAATTTTTTTATATTGTAACAATATTCAAAAACATTCTGCAAAACAATTTTTGAAAAATTTCTAAGGCAAATAATGTATTAATAAAAAAAAAAAAATTATTAGTAATTATATTAAAATTTTTATGTGTTTCATATTACTATCAATTCACAATAGTCTGTTTTTAATAGGCCAGTCAAAATCTATACTACTCAACATCAATAATTCTTAAAACAAAGAAGAATTTTCTAAATAATATTACAACTAGTTAATTATTAAATACAACATTCAAATTCTTGATTTTTATCATCTGTGTTCTTGTTTTTTCACATCAATCAATACTGTATGTTCCAATCAAAATGAAGAGCAGTGTAATTTGGAATAAGATTGTTTAAGTATCATTTTAAACTTTTGTAGTCACCCTAATATCAAATTGTATGTATAATTATGATTATTTCTATAAATAATAATGGACTTGATAGTTGTATAGTTCTATAAAATAAAATAAAGGTAACAATATGTTATTGGTTATGTCTAAATTTCATATGTTCATATAAGTGATTTTTTTTTTTATTAATATTATAAATTTGACCTATTCATAAAACTATATCTTGTACTATTTAGAAATCACTAAATTAATAATTTAAAACTTATGAGCATGTGTTTTACTGTATACCTGAAAACTATTGATTTATTTTTGCATAAATATTAAAGTTATGTTAAAATTGTATTGTGAAAAATTTATTAAATTTTATGAATAATCAAAATATTATATTTTTGTTGTTTTTACAAATTGATATTTATCTATTAAATTGTGAGCCTTTTATTTTATAATCATATTTCTAAAAAATAATTAAAATATGTTTATTGCTGAAAAACTTTCTCCTTTTAAGCTAAAAATTCAAGTTTATATTAATTGCATATAATTTAAAATTTATAATTTAATTTTGTTATTTTTTATTTAATTTACTTTCTTTATATTAATATAGATAGGAATCATAGATTTTATAGTATTACTCTGAAATTTTATAGTTACTACATTCATGGTTATATTACATGTTCTTAGAGTATTGTAATTACAACATTATTTTGTATTGAGTATTAACATTTAGCTAAAATCATTACACTTGATTTTTTAATCAGGATTAATATTAGATCATAATATATTAATTTTAAATTGTTTGGCTATTTTAAAAGTAGTCTAGTAGTACGCTTGATCAGAAATTTATTCAAGACCAGAGTTGAAAACTAAATCAATAAAATGTGTTCAGTATCATACTAATGACAAACATTTGTTTGTGCAATTGTATTTTAATGATATTTTTTTTTCTAAAAACAACTAAAATGCAAGAATTATTATTTATAATAAGAGTAGTAAAATAAGAAAAAAATGTCTGCTCCCTTTAATGGATATTCTCACTCTTCCTATTCCAATTTTTTCTTTTTTTGGAAATTGGCGACTACACTATAAAAATTATACATATATGAACCCGAAATATAATAACATTTTTTCTATTTATTTGAAAATTGAGAATATTGAACGAACAGCTGAAGCCCTATCTAAAATCCTTAAAAATTAATTGTATTTAAAATTATCTGTTGATGAATAATGTCCATAATTATGTTTTCCATTGTCGAGGCTGCACTGCTATCGTTAAGTGTGAATTTCATAAATATTATCTGATGATGATATCAGAACTTTTAATAGCCGGGTAAATACTCATTGATAGTAATGAAAAGATTGAAGAAACTAAAAAAATTTTAATTTCATTTCCGCATTTATTGTTTTAGAGAATATTAAAAATGAATGATGGTGAGTATCCAGAATTTGTGGGTTATTATTTTTATTTAAGTCTATTACTAATCTGCAATAAAGTTAAATACATTCAATTTCTCATTTTTTTCAAACCTGTCATAACAGTATTTATAATTTTATTTTAAAATGATACCTATATTTGATTACTTATAATTAAAATATTGCAAAAAGTATTTCAAAGCAATTATTATTATAACACTGATATATATATATATTTAATATAAATTGCATATTTATTTTTTTTTTGTTTTCTATTGTATTACCTATTCAGAAATTAATGTTATTAATAAACAGCTGTTATGAAAAAATAAAAAATACACTTATCCAAGTTAATTATTCAACCCAAGTATTTTAACCAACATACGCTAGATATGAATTTTAGATTATATGATGAGGGGTTTAGCACCTCTATGAATGTTGGCATTTATTTTTGTGCAACTGCAAATATATATATTTTTTTCATTTCTTATATCACTTAAGCAATATTAACTAGTATATAATGAAAAACTCTATCTATATGAAATAATTATATTGTTTTTTATTTAATAGTTTTTTTAACAAATTAAAAATTTGATTTGATTGAATTTCCATTTTACAACTATAATTTATGAGTTAGTTTTTTTGTTGTATTAATGAGTTATTTAAATTTCAAATGTATAAAACTATTTTAATTTGTTTTATTCTTTTATATATTTCTTCTATTTGGTTTTATTAGTCTTTTGAAACCATCGTGTTTCACAACTGGAAGTTTCCATTATTTATGTGAAGTTTCCATTTATTTCCTTGAATTTAGTACTTCTGTCAGTCAAAAATAATATTTATTTCAAGCTACATCATTTTTTTCATTCGTAATACTACAATGGTATTTGAATTGTTGAACCCTTTTATATTCATAATAATTATTTTTATAGACTGAAAAAACATTAGTCTTTGACTACTTAAAGTTGTGTACTCTATTTTTTTTTTCATCTACATGTAGCCCTACTTTTAATGCTGCTTTATGTAACTTGCTAAATAATATCCTTCTCAAGATTTTTCTGTCAATACTTAATACATTTATGTATTTAGTTATACTGAAACTAAAAATATAATGTTTAGTTCATTTTATGTTATATTTAAGGAAAAATGATATGAAATTTGCTATTTATGAAATAAGTATAAAAATATAAATTATGTATATCAGTCTGTAATTATATAAATAGATAATTTATACTGCTTTATTTAATTAGCATTTATTTATAGATCCAGAAAATATGGATGTTGTTAACAATTTAGAAGTACTTTGTTCTGCAAACCATCAATTTGCATTATCACTTTACTCGGTAAATAATAATAGCTTCTATTCAAATTTTTAACCAAATATTTTAGTTTATTTAATTACTGTTATTTTTAGGAATTAAACAAACAAGATGGAAACATATTTTATTCTCCATTTAGTATTCATTTAATCATGTTCATGGCAAGTATGGGTGCAGCTGCTGATACACTTGATGAGCTGTATACAACATTACAGTTAAAAAAAAATTCAAACTTATTGGATACATTCTCAGACTTTCTAGATGGTTTAAAAGTAATTAAATAGTCTAGATAATATTCAGTTTGATGTGTTATAATTTATCTTTATTATAATAATTCTTCCTTAATTTTAAACAAGTTATTCTTTGATAATCTCTTTTTAAAATATTTTAGATTGCTCTGAAATATAGTTGAAACTCGATATTTTTTTCTTAGGAAGAATTATATATAAAATAATTTTCTTGCATCCAATCAAAATATTTTATTAATGTATCTTTTGGCAAAATTTGCGGGGTTCACTAAAATTAAAAAGTATTGTATCTTGTTTTATTTCTAATACTTTTTGTTATTTATTAGAAATTTGATGAACTTAAAGTAGCCACTGGAATGTTTATAGATAATTCTTTTAAAATCAAGCAGAACTATCTAGAAGAAACAAAAAATTACATGAAAACTGCTGTAGAAATTTTAAATTTTAAAGAAAATCCAGAAAATCAGCGTACTTATCTTAATGAATGGGTTGAAAAAAAAACAAATGGAAAAATCAAGAATTTATTTCCTCCAAGTAATTAAATATACATGTAAAGTAATTTAATACTACTAAAAGATACTGTTAAAAAAAAATAATACTATAAAAATTAGAAATGTTTTATTAATATTTATTTTTATTTCCATTCATCACTATTGCAATCAAATTTACATTACTTGGGTTAACCATGTGTATTCTTATAATACATTTGGTAACACTCATTATTTACACAATAACCTTGTTAAATGATGTTTATTTTGTGGATTAATAAAAAAATGAACAACGCTTTAGTTAAAATATATAATTACTAAATAACTAATACAATAATATAGAATAAGATGTCTTCTAACATATTTTACTAGATCTAACAAACACTTAGACTATTCTAAAATTTAGTGTAAACACAATTATTATTATGTATTATACATCAAATTTAATTTAATGTTTTGAGAAATATTAACAATTTATTTTATTATTATTATTTTATTCACTCAATTTGATTTTTAGATTCTATTAACAGAGAAACTGCATTAGTATTAGCTAATGCTATACATTTCAAAAGTAACTGGAAGAAGAAATTTGATGAAGCACAAGATGATCTATTTTTTTTAACACCTATGAACCATATAAATGTTAAAATGATGAGTCTAACTGAGGATTTAAAATACTATCATGATACAGATTTAAAATACTCTGCTCTTGAATTACCATATGAGGTAATATAGAGTTCATTCTCATTATATATTAATATGAATAATCTAAGGTAGTATATTGTATATTTCAGTGTTATATAATTTTCAGTTAAGGGATAAATTTGGTATTAACATCTTAATGAACCTAGTTTGAAAAATCCATAAAATATCATCTTGGTAGTTAACAAAATTGACTTATATAACAATTCTTATAGTTAAAATATTTCAGAATTTAATATTGAAATTTTGTTCTGTGGTATATTTTCACTTGATTCCCTTACAATTTTTTTACTCGTGGTTTTTCAAGTATTATATCATTTTATCAGGTATTAAGATATTATTTAACTTACAATAAAGCTAGATCCTTTAAGGAGTCAATACTATTATCTAATTGAGAAGTATACCCCATAGTTTTTAGTGTCAAAATTACTAGAGACTAACCAATTTAATTATAGATAACTTATTCATTACTATAATACAAATTGTTTATAAAAAAAGTTATTTTCACCAAAAATTCCAGAGTTTCTCATATTATTTGCTCTAAATAGCAATTATATTAGTTTTAAATGTTTCATCAATATAAAAATTATACATTAGGTTATGATATAATTAACACTACATTAGGTTATATATTAGGTCCCTTACTTATTTTCTATAGTGATGGGTGAAAATACTAGGAAATACAAGGAGAGGAACTATGGTGCATGTTGTTTACTGACAATATAGTGTTAATAGGAGAAAATTAATCAAAGGCTAGAGTTGTAGAAATCAATTATTGAAGAAAAGGAATTAAGAATAAGTAAAAGTTTGACAGAGTATATATAATACGAATTTGACAAGGAGAACACGAGTTAGGTAAATGATGAGATCAATGACAATAAGCAAGGATATAATAGAAAAGATGGAAAATTTTAGGATTAGTTGTGCAAATGAACAATGATATTTGCGAGGATGTTAGACACAGGTTGAAGTGTGAGTGGATGAAGAGGAGAGAAGCGTCTGGTGTGTATGTGAAAAGAGAATTCCAATGAAACTGAAAGGTAAGTTCTATAAGACTATAGTGAAGTCAGGTATGATATATGGTTTAGAGTGTTGGGTGGTTAACAAGAGAATAGAACAGAGATTGAGAATGATGGATGAGTGTAGTGACTAGAGAAGATAGGATAAAAACGAACATATAAAAGGAAGTATATGTGTAGTGTCAATCGTAGTCAAGATAAGAGAAAATAGACTCTGATGGTTTAGTCTTTTTATAAAGAGAGAAGAATCGGAAGCTGTAAAAACAGTTATGAAAATAAATGTTGGGTGAAGAAGAGGTAGAGGAAGACCAACAAAGAGATGTGGGAGATAGTGTCAAGTGGAAGTTTAAGATAAAGGTGGCTGCCATCAATTAATTGAGATAAAGACGATAAAAAAGAAGAAGATATATTAGATATTTTAAATTCTCATAACATTTTCTATTTATTGGTTGCAGAATCATAACTGTAAAATACAATTCCTAAACTTCAGAGGCTTTGAGAAATATGTGGACAATGTTAATAATGTTAATAAACATTGTCACATCAGCCTCGAAATTCGCACAACTTGTTTTTATCACCAATTCCTATAGATCTCTTTATTAAAATTTATAAAAATTAAATTTTTGGATCATACTAGTGTTTATTATTGTTAATAAATTCATTAATAAGCTATTTTTAAGTTTTAAATAGGTTTTTGGTAAATATCTAAAATAAAGTTCTTGTTTTTGTCTATTAATTCTAATACACATTTTTATGTTAGGGTTATAAATTTAAAATGCTTATACTTTTGCCTGATGCAAAAGATGGATTAAGAAATCTAGAAAACAGCCTAAACAAAATTCAAATAAGGGGACTTATGCAGAAAATGAATACGTTTAAGGTCAATGTTAAACTACCTAAATTTAAAATGGAGCAATCTATTGATCTTAATGATGTATTAATCAAAGTATGTATAAATGACAAATACCTGTTTAATTTTTATTAATTTTATTTTTGTTTGATAAGCTTGGTTGTTCTACAATGTTTTCCTCTAGAGCTAACTTTTCAAAGATCAGTGATCCATCTGAAAATCCTTTGTATATAAGTAAAGTTCTTCACAAAGCATTCATTGATGTAAATGAAAAAGGAACTGAAGCTGCAGCTGCTACAGGTAGAGTGTTTACATATAATGTAAATAAACTAATATGTATATTTCTTATGATGCAATTATTGTAAAAAATATAAATTCTCCAATTCCCATTTAACCAGATCGTTAATATTTCATATCAACCACTATAAAAACATTAAACAAAGGATCCTTAATTTTATGACTTTAAACTAATTACCCCTAAAATGACAGCTCTTTAGGAGATATGATCAATGTTTTATTAATTTAAAAATATTAATTAAAGACTAAAATATATGTGTTTATTATTTATGTTTTTAATGAATTTTTTTTTTAATAATTCTTATGTATAGCTTAAACAGAACATTAAAAAAATAAGTTAGGATTCATCATGATTTTTTCTAATATCTTAAGAACAGCTTATTTTATGGCAAAATAAGTTCCCGATTAGAGTGTTAATGGTTTTAAATGATGCACAAAATTATTCTTCATAGGAAAATATTACAATCCTAAAATCAAATTTTTGGAGTTAGGCTAACATTATTTTGTTGCTATTAGTTATTATAAAATAAAATAGTAATAAAGATAATCAATTCATTTATTGAAAAAATATCCACTTAAAAATAGAAAATTGAAATAAATTTATTGTATACTATATGAATTCAACATTCGTAGACTATAATATAAGCATATTTTTTTTATTATTTTTTATAATAAAATCGTAATTTTATTAATCATAATAAATAGCTAAGCAAGTTAATCATGTATTACCATTTAAAAAATTAATGTTGGCAACCTTAATAAACATAAGGGATGAATATAAAAAATACTTCATAACTGATAAATTTAGAAAAGTATGTAATTAAAAGAAATCATAAAAAATTTATTAATATTACTTTTATTTTAAATTTGTGATATGATGTATTATACCATCAAAATGATAATGTAGTTACTCAAAAATATTGAACAAAACATATTTTCTTATAGAAAAAATTATGCTCTATGTAACGCATAAGTATATTTTAATTTAAATACAATATTTCAACTGTTAAACTAAAAAATATATTGTGAATTACATTAAATGAATAAGTAAATTAAATATTCAAACTCATTTATCTTAATTCTAGGTTTTTTTAATTAATTTAATAGTGTTCTCTTAAAATACATATTAATATAAATGCTTGTTGCTAATTAATTACAAAACCTAATGAAATTATCAAATAACTTTCTTTTTTTCTTTTTTTTTTATAGCATAATATATATTAAAAATCACTTGAAATCATATATTTTTAATAAAAATTTTTTTTTTTTAATAAATTAATGTGTATTTGTTTTTTGTTTTTTTTACAATACATCAGGTTGTGTAAATCGGAAAAAAAGAAGTTTACAAAAAGAATCTATATCTATGACAATTAATCATCCTTTTTTGTTTTATATTTTAAATAATAACAATATTTTTATTTTTGTTGGACGTATAAATACTTTATATTCATCTAATCGATGTACTCCTAAGGATGAATTTTGATGTATGATGAAAGATTATTCCATTTCTTATTAAATATTTAATAATTATTTTCTGTTTGAATTATTATATATTTTATGTAAATCCTAGTTAATAATTTGTAAGCTAAGTCATGTGTTAATAGGAATGGTGATGCTTGCTCGATGTTTAGTGATGAAACCTGAATATGAACAAGTTAACTTTTTTGCAAACCATCCATTTGTCTACTTCATTTTGGGCAGTAACGATGAAACTTTATTTATGGGTAGAATACAACAATTTGATTAAACATAAAATATTTTATGTCACAATAAATTAATTCAAAATAATTTTTAATTCTTAATTCTTAATTAACACAAATGGTGTTTTTAGCTTATATTATGATTATTTTTGATTAACACAAATATTATTTATCACATATATATCTGTTAATTTATTTACTATATATATATATATATATATATATATTTATATTATAATTATTATATTAATCCACCAGTTGAAAAAATGTACTAATCATTACTTCATTACACATGCTTATTTAATTATAGTTATTTTTTGTTATATGTGTCTTAATAAATTTTTATTTAAATATACAGAAGGATTTTTTATCATAACCTACTCAATTACTCACAGAATAGATATAACATTATTTAAACCTTTTTTTATTTGGTTATCTTTAATTAAACATAATGCATGTAAGCAAGTGCATTGTGAATGCAGAGTGTCCGGTATCATTAAATACTACATTGTGGACCAAGACTACATTAGGAACTAAGTCTACTATTATCTTAATTTTTTTTTAACATTTCTGGTAACTTTTAAAATTTAATTAATAAAAAATTTTTTTTATGTTATAATTATAGTTTTGAACTCTAACAAGTTTTTAAAAAAGAAAGAATTAAATAACAATCAGTAAATAAAAAGTTATAACATATGTTAGAATATAGTGGAGCCTGTATACAGTGATTTTTTTATCATAACCCACTAAATTACAAAATAAAAATAACTAAAATTGTTTTTTGATTATTTTTAGTTCCACATAATTCTTGAAATATTAACTATGTAATACTTTCAACTTTGTTTTTTCAAATGAAAAAATTTTTTTAATTTAATAAAATGTTTTAGTTTTTATTTTAATAGTAAATGGCTTTTGAATTTTCAATAAAACTTTTCTTGTAATACAAGACTTGTATATTAAATATAAAACTTTTAAGTTAATATACATGTGTATTAACTTATAACAGTATGTATAATATATACGTTAAAAAAAAATTTATGTGTATATAAATATATTTATATTTTATTAAAAAAAAGTAATAAGTTTAACTATTAGATAATACATTTTGAATGAAAGGATATTCATCGAAGTTAATTGCATTATCATTCAAGAAGTAAAACAATAAGTAAAATACTGATATTCACTGCTTTATAAAAAGTTTATTTGCATCTATAGTAGTACAAGTATTTACCTTATTTTTTTCTCTATTACTCTACAAACGCCCTGATAGGAGAGGTATTATTATTTAATAGAGTTCCTCAACATTACGTTTTCGGATATCGATATCGTACTGAATTCCAACGATATTACATGATAATATTAAAAAAAAAGGTTTTCTATATCATATGAAAATAAAATTTAATGCTTTCATTATTTTTTTTATTTTTAAGAATACCGTTAAATTACCATTGTTGTAAAAATCAGACTATGGTATACTAACCAAATCAGATGATATTAATATCAAAAATATAGATAATAGTTATATCTCATAACGATAATCAAATATTTTCAAATTACTTTTTATTATGAAAAAATAATTTTTTTTTTTTGTTATAAGACTTTATAATTACATTTTGATTATATTACATGGATAAAATTGTTTTTTAATAAATAATAGTACAATAGTTTCAGTGTTTTGATTTTAAATAATAATAAAAAAAATAGATTAGAAGTGTTTTTTTTCTTCTTTTCAAAAATAAAATTTTAACTTTTACAGAATAAAACATTATCATATTCATCACTATCATTTAACAGGGATTTTTTTGGGGGGGGTCAATAAATTCATTTTATTTTTCAAATTGAGTTTTAATCAGTTATTGCTGTATATCTTATACTTCTCAAATTTCTTTCTCTAATTCTCTTCATACATTACTTTGTTCGTGTTTTATTAAAAATAGGAATAACAACAATTTCATAATAAAAAACCTAATTTCAGAATAGAATTTCGTATCAATAAATATCATTTTTACGTCTCAATTCTTTATTACATAATATATTTTAATACAAAAAATATTAACAAGATTATCACGAATAGGTTTCTGGGCTAATATCAAAAATGCGATATTATCAGTGGCGGCTCATTGTTGCTGGTGGTGGGGATGCGACTTTAAATATAATAATGCTAGTCATCAGCATAAAATTTTTGTCAAATAGTATGAGGTATCCTGAATAAAACTTAGGCGAATTTTTCCATCTCGGATGTACGCGGGGACAACAGGTGAGAGAGAATAAAGTAATTAAAAACGGAGAAAGCCTAAGGAATAAAGTGTTTGCTACCAGCCGGACAACTTATGCGGTAGCTGTTTCACCAGTCTTGTGTACAGGTCTACCCAACGCTTGTAATGTCAACGGTGTAGGGACATCAGCACTTAACTCTAGGCTGGACTCGTGTATAAGGGAGAAAGATAGATACAAAGTAAGAAGAGGTACTTGGAATGTTAGAACATTAACTGGTAGAAGTATTGAAGAGGAGAAAAGTTAACATTTGTCGTGTGCAGGAAACTAAGTGGAAAGGAGAGAAATCGAGGGAAACAGGTGAGGGTTATAAAATAATATACTTAGGTAAGTCTAGTACAAAGAATGGTGTAGGGATAATAATGGATGAAGAGATGAAAAGTAGAATAGTAGAAGTAGCTAGGAAAAGTGACAGAATTATAGTTGTAAAATTAATATTCGAGGAAAAAGTGCTGAATGTAATAAGTGCCTATGCACCACAAGTAGGATATGATGAAATAGACAAGGAAGTGTTTTGGTGAGAGATGGATGAGGTGATACAAGGGGTACCTGGCAATGAGGATGTGATGATAGGTGGAGATATGAATGGACATGTATATAATGAGAAGAGAGGATATGAAAGAGTACATATTTAAGCCAATATGCTTTATGACAATTATCTTTATCATTACCAGAAATTCCGGTGACAATTGATATAATATAATTGTTGTTTGGAAATATACAATTTAGCGTTTGGTTGGGTTTAAACAATATAGCGTCAAATCAATTATCTACTCTATCGGTTATATCTTAATATACACTACACTTTAATGATACTAAAATAAATAAACTCACACATACACACATATGCATTTATAACATTGTGTCTAATGTTATTATAACATGGTAAAAAGTAACCGTAAAATGGAAAAAATGGAAATTAAATTTTAATATTCATATTAAATATAATGTAACTCGAAAAATATTAGTTTAAATGAAGAAATAAAAGATACCTTTTTTGTTTAAAATTGTCTTCTAAACAACTTTTGTACAAAACTTTTTTTTGTAAGTTAAATATTTTTTGAGAAAATTAAAAAGCTCATATTTTTGAACTTTTGCAAGGCTGTAAAAAAAAAGCTCAATTCCAATCAATGAGGACTTCTAGTATGTCATTATACATATCTTAATTCAACTTTTTTTAAACAAAAAATTTGGTTGGGAATTTTTTCTGCCATTCACAAAATTACTCCTTCGATGACTAGCCTTTATTAGAAGAGAAAATTCGAAATGAATGGAGGAATAGTATTGTGGTACCGATATTTAAAGGTAAAGGTGACATACAGGAATGTGGAAATTATAGAGGCATAGTATGAAAATTTGGGAAAAGGTAATATATACGAGAATGAGAAATGAGACATCGGTATTTAAAAACCAGTATGGATTTATGCCTGGTAGGCCATCAATGGAGCCATTATTTTGTGTGAGACAACTGTGCGTGAGAAAAGTTTAAAGAAAAGAAGAAAAAGCAATGTATGGTATTTATAGATTTGGAGAAAGCGTATGATAGAGTACCGAGAGAGGTTTTAAAGTGAGCATTAATGAGAAAAGGAGTCCCGAAAAGGTACATTAATATAATAAAAGATATGTATTATGGCACTTGGACCAGGATAAAAAGCGTAGGAGGAGTATCAGAAGATTTTCGGGTAAGAGTAGAAGTGCACCAATGTTCTGCTTTAAGCCCTTACTTATTCTCTATAGGGATATACTACTATAGGGATATTACTAGAGAAATACAAGGAGAGGTGCCGTGGTGCATGTTGTTTGCTGACGATATAGTGTTAATAGGAGAAAATAGGGGGGAAATTAATCAAAGGCTAGAGGTATGGAGATCAGCTCTTGAAGAAAAGGGTTTAAGAATAAGTAGAAGTCAGACAGAGTATATAGAGTACGAGTTTGACAAAGGAGAACCCGAGATAGGTGAAATGAGGAGATCTGTGACAATAGACGAGGACGTGATTGTAGAGGTGGAATGTTTTAAGTATTGACGAGAATGTAAGTCACAGAATAAATGCGGTTGGTTGAAGTGGAAAGAAGCGTCTGGCGTCTTATACGATAAAAGAATTCCAATGAGGTTAAAAGGTAAATTCTACAAGACTGTAGTGAGGCCAGCTATGATATATGGTTCAGAGTATTGGGCAGTTGATAAGAAAGTAGAACAGAGAATGAGTTTAGCAGAGATGAGAATACTTAGATGGACGAGTGGAGTGACTAAAAAAGATAGAATAAGGAATGAGCATTAAGTGGGAGTATAAGTTTAGTGTCAATCGTAGTCAAGATGAGAGAAAATAGATTCGGATGGTTTAACCTTTTTATGAAGAGAAAAGAAACGGAAGTTGTAAAAACAGTTATAAAAATGATTGTTGAAGGAAGAAGAGGTAGAGGAAGACTAAAAAAGAGATGAAGGGATGCTATTGAATGCGATATGAGGACAGCTGATGTAAGCGTAGATGATGTAGGAAATCGTGTCCAATGGAAGTTTGGGATAAGGGTGGCCGACGCCCAGTAGTTGAAATTAAGGCGATGAAGAGGAAGAAGACTTGTATTTTATAGTATGGACGACGCTGCAAGTCGTCCAAAACCCGAACATAAAATCGCAGCTTAACCGTACCCGTACTCACACGATTGGATGGCCTGGCTTATAGTATACGTTTAAGAATATTGCTCAGACGGCGCTGCCGGTCATCCAACACTGCTCGTGTGTGCATGCGTACCTGTATATAATCCTGGTATCTAAAAAAAACTACTTTAATGTTCGTACACCACAAATGTACTATAACTATTTTACTATTTAAAAATTTGCATTTTTAATAAAAAAATATTTTTTAAATGTAGAATTAAGAATATACAATTAATTTCTTCTTTTAATTAATTTTAGTCATGATGCGATCGTCCCGTCATCCAAACCACGAGCCGCTACCACTGGATATTATAATATATTTTATAAAAAAAGTGACCAAAATTCACAATTTTTTTTTATTAAATTTTTTTTTTTTTGATTATTGTAATATTTAATAAATAATCAATATTGTAGGAAAAATGAAAAAAGTCGGCGATAACGTTGATGAATTGAATAATATTTAACTTGTTATTCTATTGTCGTGAATCAAAAGAGATTTGAACTTGGACTTTTTTGACAATTGAGATTTTGTTTGGGATATCCTGAATATTATGAAAATCAGCAGACGTTTGTTGTATTAAATTTCTATTGAACAGAAAAAGTAATTTGTCAAAAAAGTTTGTTTTTGTTTGCTTTTATCTTCAATGATATTTTCTAAACTTGATAATGCTGAAACCGCATTATCCTCCATATTTTTTGACGTTTCAATAAAATTTCATGATTTGTTCATGTTCCACTTTCGTGTACATTTTTATTTATTTCTATATAGGGTGTAAAATTGTTATCGTCCAAATTAACAACATTTCATTTATCAGGAATAAGTGAATTATTTAATTGAATTAACTATCACTATATTTAAAAGTGATTTAATGTCTGTGGGGGGTTCCACTACTCCAGATATTCTTATTGCAAGGAGTATATTAACAGAAAATGTGTTCATCATTGCTGATATTTTCCATTAATTTTTTCATTATTTTTTTTTTTACAAAATATTTGTAAATTCTACATATCTTAATCCTTGGATTGAAATATAGGAGTTATATTTGGTAGTAAAAAGTATATCTTAAAGGAACTTAATTTAATATCGAAACACGAGTAGTATAGTTATCAATAAATACTAAAATTTATTGATTTTCTAGTTTTATTTTTCTATAAAAATTTAAAAGCCACTCACTAAATAATAATGAAATAATCTACGCATTTTTATTTGACTAATAATCAACTAATAAAGATTTTATTCCTTTAAAACATCTAAGTTTCATAACATTACTCATGAAAAATAATTATATTCAACATTATGTATACCAACTGAACAATTTTGAATTCTAGTCGTACTACTAATTAATTTTCGTATTCAAGATAATAAAAAACGATTGATTCTATTTTGAGTTATCAAAAGTAAAACTTTTGAGAGTAATGTCTGTTTTAAAAATATTTTAAATAGGTTCGAAAAAACGATTTACGATATAAAAATATAATACTTTAGCTTGTTGGTGTACTGAACATAAGTCTTCTTCTTCTTCTGCCTCGCCTTTATCCCAATTACTTGAGGTTTGCCACTCGTATCTTAAATCTCCACTTGACAAGATTTTCATAACATCTATATACACCCCAACAGTTCTCATATCACACCAATTACACATCTTTTTCGATTTCCCTCTTCCAGTGATTAATTTATAGGGGATCATGATTGTAGAATTATTGACATATTTATTAATAGGAGAGAGAAAGAGTACGACCGGTTTATATACAGGGTGTTCAGTAAGTCAGGAAACGGGTTTCTATTGTTCTCATTGTTACAAACAATGAGAACAATAGAAACCCGTTTCCTGACTTACTGAACACCCTGTATAAAAATATATATATTACATTAAATTGTTAATAACTTCCAAAATAATGGTCCAAAAGTTGTTATTGACCAGTTATTTTCTTAATTAGATCATTATCTAATACATAAACTAGTAACTAGTTTATGTATTAACTGTTAATTATGTGTGTTGCCATTTAAAAAAATAAAGATGAGACCCTTATTAGGTGTAAAGCATAAATAAAAAAAAATATTTTATAACAAATTAAAAAGAGAATATAACTTAAAGAAAAATAAAATTATCAATTTTATTTTATTTTTCAATTAATTAAGTTATTAAAGAATAATTTGCATAGTGTAAGCTGTAAGTAAAAGATTATATTTAATATTGTAATATTTTGTTTAATTGTAAATCCTTGATCTATTGTTATTATATCACGTCATAAATATTTATAAATATTTTTTTAGAATAGTTATGCTATTAGATTAAAAAAAAATGTTTTAATATAAAGATAGAATGGAATGAATTGTCGGCGAGAGTACTTCAGAAGCATCGAAGGTAATCTCATTTTTATGCTATACGTTTATGACAATAAGTCTTTACTTTTACATATTACTTATTTTGTAATTTTTGTGCATTCTTGTTTTACACAATTCAGCTTGTTTTAATTGTATCTTTTAATTTATTAAGTTTACGTCATTATTGAACTATCTTCTCTTTTTAGTGATATAAGTGATATAAGTGATATAAGATGTTTCCCTTTAAAACACGACTGGGTATCTATACGACAGGTCCTTGATAGTAACTTAATGAAACATTTATGTTGGTAATGGTTGAGTACCCTTAATCTTATTACTGTTTTAAGTTACGACTGATAGTCGTTGGCTGTCACTACTCCTTGGTAGTGTTAAGGGAAAAATAGTTTATTCCTTAGTCAGTTAGGTTAGGATTAAAAGGTTCTATTTATTTATAAAGCTGTACAACAAAGTTGCATCATCAATCGGCAGGGATTCAATAATATTTGAACTGATTATACAAAATTAGTTTAACAATTCCAATTAGATTTATATTTGGATTAACTATGGTTAGTTTTTTATACTAACTATATATTTAATTTGTTAAAATACTAAATCAAAACTGTAAAAACAATTTTCCGTGTTAAGATAAAGGATTTGGACCAATTTCTTATCTCTATTTTACTTAACTAGTCTTAAACGATTACACGATTAATAAATAATAAAGATTCAACACATTGAACTATTTACAAATCTTTAGTGCACAAGTTCATGTTTGATAACCTATTTCACTAACAAAATATATTATCAATTAATTTAAAAAAAACTTGTATTGTATGTTATATAACTATTATTCTTTTTACATTTAATATCCTCTTTTGTAATAATAGTGTAGTGAATACTGTAAATATGCAATATCGTGCTAATAATTAATGTGTTGTTAACGTGTGATCATTTTTTTTCTTATAAATAATTTATAATTTATTTTAAGTATGTCTTTAGTATCTAATAATTTAGATATTATTAATTCAGCAAATAATGATTTTTCATTATCATTATATTCGGTAAACATATTATTTAGATAAAATTAATATTTTAAATAATTTCTTACTTATTTTAAAGAAATTTAGTAAAAATGACGGTAATATATTTTATTCACCGCTAAGTATTCATATTGTCATGTTTATGGCTGGTATTGGAGCTGCATCTCACACATTCAATGAAATATTTGACACGCTTAAACTGCCTAAAACCAATACAATTGATTTATTGGAAACATACGGAAAAATTTTAGATAATCTACAAGTAACAAAAAAATTGTCTAAAACATTTATTTGTATTTTTATACGTTTCTTTTTAAATTTTGAATTAATTTAACTGTTAAAAGCATTTTTTTCGTATTCATTGTAGTTTTGGAAAACTAATTTTTGCTTTTCGTTTTTATAAAATCCAGGTTTTTTAGCGATATGTCTAATGTAAGCAATTAACACAATCTAATTATTCCATTTGAAGGAATGTTAAGTGGGAATAGTAAAAATTTTCTTACAATTCAATACACAGGATATTGAATTTTTTTAATGGGTTGAAAAAATCTTAAGTCGATAAGAAACTATTTTCACTCACAGCAAATCTTATTAGTCCGGGGTGACAATTTTTAAAATACACTATTGTATATTCATATCTTATTATACAATGCCATACTATGATATAAATTTACATATAAAACTTTTGAGTTCTCTAATATAAAAAAAAATTACATTTTTAATGTTCATTAATCACAAACATTTTTATTTAGAAAAATAATGAACTTAAGACGGCTAACGGACTTTTTATTGAGAATTCTTTCAAAGTGAAACAGAGCTACTTATATAGTATCAGTACACATCTAAAAGCTTCTATTGAAAAATTGAATTTCAAAGAAAAACCTGAGGATCAACGTATTTACTTAAACAAATGGGTTCAAATGAAGACTGATGGAAAAATTAAAAATTTATTTCCCCAAAGTATAAAACATATATTTATTGAAAAACATCTTCTTAAATTAAAAAAAAACCTTAAATATCTAGATAACAAGGGTTTTAAATTTGAAATATTTAATAATTAATAATTTTATGCCTTGTAAAATATTTTATTAAGAATTTAAACAATATGTTTTTCCTAGTTCTGTGCATTTGATAATCTGTAGACTCGGTTAATGTTAAAAGGAGTTATTAAAATAAATAAACGATGGCATCTCGGGGGAAAGCAAAGCAAAGGCAGTACTCCCCCCTGATGTCGATTCAAAGATAAAAAAAAAAAAAAAA